CTGTATTTCTGAGGATATTTATTCATTTCCTTTGAATTCTTAGGTGTATATTTTCAGTATAGTGTAAATTTATTGAGAGTAGAGATTTTTTTCATTTTTTATACTTGTGTCCCTTGTATCTGGCACTAGTTGCTTAATAAATGATTGGTTGTTAATGTTTAAATTGTATAACAATTTCCAATACTTCTTTTTATTTCCTGTAGTGAATTCACTTTGTTTATTTTAAATTTTCAGAACTTTATCTTTCATCAGGTTGGATCTTAATTTAATGATTTCATTGGTCTTTTCAGAAAACTAGCTCTTGGTATTGTTTATTAGTTACATAAAAAGTATATTACTATTGACTAAACAAACTTGTTCACACCCCATGGGTCATCTATAATAGCAGGCCAGTTCAGAACCCAAAGATTCAAATATCTAGTAGCTCCTGGTTGCTAATAACTCTGCCCTTTATAGAGTATCCATGAAATTCACCAGGCATGGTGTAGCTTCTCTTTGGCGCTTCCAGTAGAGTCCTGAAGCCACCTTTCCTCAGTGAGTCAAATGTGTTCTCCACTTATGACGTAGGCACTACGTCCACCACTTTAGGGACACCAGTAAGACTAAGACCCCAATGGGAAGCAAAAATCCTTGATTCTCTGAAATTTACAGGGTCATCCTCTGGTCAAAGGGAAGGGGAAGGAAAAACCAGCATGATCTTCACATTTCTCCTCAAATGATCCTGTCTTAGAAGTTTTCCTGGGAAGTTTCCAACAGGCTACTGGACATTAGAATCCCTAAGCTCTGAATTGACTTTTCTCTATGTATTTAGCATATACTTTTTTTACTGTACACAAAGACTCAAAATGCAAGCTTCTTTAGTGCCAGTGTTTGCTTTTTTCTTTGTATCCATAGTGTTTAACATAGTTCTGAGCACTTAGGAAGTGTTTAAATAATTGGTGTTTGATTTTTAGCTCATTTTGCCTTCTTGTTGCCTGTCAGACTTGTACTCTCTGAAACAAAAATAAAATCCAGCAACATACACTCACCTATCCCACATTCATGGCTTTGTCTAGCATTACTCACATGAAAATAAATATTTCATTTCTTAGATTTTCACGACTTTCTGAGATTTTTATATTTAACTTTTTGTTATATAGTCAATTTGCATTTTGAATAACATTTATGCTTATGTATTCTTTTGTCAGAATGATTCATTTTGCCAAATGTTCATTTATATCCTTATCATGATCCTCAGGTTCAGTTTTTCAAAATGAATTATTTTTTACAAAGCAATCATTTTTGCTTTTCAGAATATATTAATTTTTTTCCTTTGATTTCATATTGACCATAAGAGTAATCCTGTTCTTTTCTGATTGATTCTCCTTGGAATGTAAAAAAAAAATTTTCCTTGCTGCCTACAAAAAATCTTTGATAATTTAGTTCTCAAATTTGACTATGATGTTTGTTGGTAAATTGATGGGAGGTATCTTTCTGTTAGCGTTTTGTGGTTTTGTTTAATTTGCTCTTTACTGTTTGCAGTTTTTCTGCATGATTATTTGAATCATTTTATTAAGATTTTCATTTGAATTATGTTTTGGGGAGGAAATCTAATTATTAGGCTATCTCTTCACATCTTATTTTCAAGTTCAGTATTATTTTATAGAGCTTTCATATGTTCTCAGGCAGTCAACAAGCATGTAAGTAATAGTATCACTAGGGATATAAAGAAAGAGGCAAACAGTCTGTTCTCTCAAGGAACAACATTCTTTTAATCTTATTTGTTTTTTAATTTCTTTCATTAATTTTCTTTCTGACTGTTGTTTTAGTATTCTGGTTCTATCTTTATGTCAAAGAATCTACTGTTATGGTTGATGTCTTCTCCACCCCCTTACTTCTCACCCCCCCCCCATTCTCTAGTCTCTTCTTAACCTTGTTGATTAAATGTTTATTAAATGCTTGCTAATAAATTGGTTAATTGATTTCTGTCTTAAGTGCTCTAATTTTTATGCTTATTTCTTTGACATTTTCACTTTATTCTTTCTCTTTTTTTCCATTTAATTCTTTAATTGCCTTTCTGAACCATTCTTGAGATTTCATGGTGTTGCTTCATTACTGTTTCAGGGGGCCTTAAAGTATTTGTTGTAATAGCATCACATTTCTAAAGGGATTTTGATTTAGTTTCCTTTGTTTGGAAGTTTTTGTCCACTCAGATGGCTCTTTTCTTTGAATGCTTATCCATTTCTCTTCCTCATCAATGTTTTATCTATCTTTATGAATAATTTCTGATTTGTCTGTGGTGTCTTTTGCTGTAAATATATGTCTTAGTACCAGTCTTTCTTTCTGTGAGCCCAGTGGTTTTGTTTCTCACCCCTAACTCTTGCTGTTCTCCTCTTTTGTATCTCTCAGCATAATTGGGTAAAGGGGGCCAGTTGGGACACTGTTCCAGGGAGGCTTATATTGGTAACTGCAGTTGGAACTCTTTACTTACACCACTCCCACTCTCCTGGGCTTTACACTTTTCTCTGACTTTCTTCACTCCCTCAGCTGACATTAGAGGACTGGTTGAAAAGGACCTGCTCTGGGTTGGGGAGTGGAGAGAAGTTTCAATACTTCATCTGAAAACTGACTGTTCATATTTTTTGATCATTTATCAGTTGGGGAATGGCTCTTATTTTTGCAAAATTGATTCATTTCTCTATATATTTGAGAAATAAGGCCTTTATCAGAGAAACTTGTTTCAAAAATTTTTTCAGTTATGCTTGCTAACTGTATTTCCCTCAGTCCTATTTCTCCCCTGTTTATTCTGCTCTCCCTCTCTCTCTCCTTTCACCCCATCCCTCCTCAAAAGTGTTTTGCTTCTGACTACCAGTTCCCCCAAACTGCCCTCTCTTCTATCAGCACCCTCCCTCTTTTCTTATCTCCTTCCCTTCCTACTTTTCTATAGGGTAAGGTAGATTTCTAAACCCAATTGAGTGTGTATGTTATTCCTCCTTTGAGCCAGTTATGATGGGAATAAGGTTCAAACGTTCCTCATCACCTCCCCGTTTTTCCCTCCACTTTAAATGTTCTTTCATGCTTCTTTTATGTGAGATAATTTACCCCATTCTACCTCTCCCTTTCCTTTTCTCCAAGTGCATTCCTCTTCTCACCCCTTAATTTTAAGATATTATCCCATCGTATTCAACTCACTCCTGTGTCCTCTATATAGACTCCTTCTAACTGCCCTAATAATGAGAAAGTTCTTATGAGTTACAAGTATCATCTTCCCATATAGTCCCTTAAGATTCCCCTTTACTGTTTGCTTTTCATGCGTAAGTCTTGTATTTGAAAGTCAAATTTTCTATTCGGCTCTGGTCTTTTCATCAGGAATGCTTGAAAATCTTCTATTTCATTAATGTCCATTTTCCCCCCTGAAGAACTCTTCTACTTTCTTATACATTACAGAGTGGATAGAACTTTGGGCCTGGAGTCAGAAAGACATGCGTTCAAATTTGACCTCAGATACTTACTAGCTAGGTGATTCTGTGCTAAGTCACTTACCCTCTGTTTACTTTTGCATACTCAGTTGTAAAATGGGGATAATAGGGGCAGCTAGGTGGTGCAGTAGATAGAACACTGGCCCTGAATTCAAGAGGACCTGAGTTCAAATGCGGCCTCAGACCAAACGCTTGACACTTACTAGCTCTGTGACCCTGGGCAAGTCACTTAACCCCAATTGCCTTTAAAAAAAAGAGAGATAATAGTAGCTCCTACCTTGCAGGACTTTTTTTGTGTTTGTTTGTTTGTTTTGATTGCTTTTGGTTTTATATCACCTTTGTTTCTTTGTTTCTTTTTTTTTCTAGGCAGTAGGATTAAGTGACTTGCCCAGAACTCAGGTCCTCCTGACTCCAGGGCCAGTGCTCTATCCACTGTACCACCTAGCTGCCCTCCTTGCAAGGTTTTTGTGAGATCAAATGAGATAATAATTGTAAAGCCTTAGCATACAGTGCCTAGCACACAGTAGGTACCATATAAATGTTTATGCTTATTCCCCATCCCCCTACACATGAATATATCCAGTTCTCACTCTTATTGTCAGACGTTTTCTTTCTCTTCCCTTCTGTACCCCTTTTCTTCTTCGATTCCTGATATTAACCACTTTTTTCCTGCCTACTAATTTCAGGCTTCTCATTAGCCTATCCTTCCTTAAAACTTTCTCCTTTATTACTGGGTGACCCATCTGGACAGTCATGTATCATTCTTTCTCTACTTGTTTGACCTAATCTTAATTCAAAAGAAAGGAGTTCAAAATTCCATAACTGTTCAAACTAGTTTATGCCAGTCCAAGAAAGCCGCTTATCTTTTAGAAATAAGCATTTCTGCTTATAAAAATTTTTTGCCACTTAACATTCTGTGTCCCAAGGTGTAACATGTTGGATAGACTATTTTACCTTAGCCTCTTTCCCAGTTCTTAATTTTCACCTTTAAATCTATGACTAGCTGAAGATTCCTTAATTCTGAAGCATTGCACATAATCTATAAAATCCAGAGATATTTGGCCAAATTTCAATGTAAACCATGTGAATCTAGAAATCTACTCAAGAAATAGGAAATTTTATCAATAGAATTGATTTCATTGCTTTATTTTGCAATGGTTTTGTTACTCATTTTAATTTTTAACTTGTTGACTTTCTGAGAGACAACATCGTGTCTCTCTTTGCAACCATATCATTATCCTGAATTTAGTAACATAAGTTTAAATTTGGGACACCTAAATAAAGACATTGAAACAATCCTGACTTACTTTTTATTGATTGCAGAGTCAACATATCTTCATCAAAGAAATTTCATTTTTCCTCCCTTTACTTCTGTAATGCAAAAGTGAAATAAGTAGTATTTATATCAGATATATTGATAGCAGAACTTTTGGCAGCTTGCAAATATAATCTTTTTAAATATAAATTTGCTTTTATTTTGTTTGTTAGATACTGAATGTTTTAAGCACCAGTCTACCCACTCTTTTATTTTTTTACTTACAGTAAAAACTCAGATTCAACAAGGATTAATCTCAGTTGCAGCTCGTACTGTTATAACACACCTGGTAAACCACTTAGGTCATTATCCAATGAATGGTGGTCCTGCTATGCTAACAAGTCAGGTTTGTGAAAATCATGACAATCATTACAGTGAAAGTTCTGAACTTTCTCCTGAGCTTTTTGAGAGTCCAAATCTCCAGTTTTTTGTATTGAACAACACAACATTGGTATCCTGTATCCAGATAAGATCAGAAGAGAATATGCCTGGAGGAGGATTATGTGCTGGGCTCACTTCAGCTAATTCAAATGTCAGAATTATAGTTCGTGATTTGTCAGGTAAATATTCATGGGACTCTGCCATCCTTTATGGACCACCTTCTGTAAGATATCCCTCAGAACCAGTTTCATTCATGCTTTCATTGTCTCACCAAGAGAAGCCAGAAGATACTCCAACTTCTAGTGACTATCCAGAGGATATAACTGTTAGAGATGGACTTGCACTCCAGATTAAGAGGAGATTCAGAGAAACAGTGCCAACCTGGGATACAATAAGAGATGAAGAGGATGTTCTTGATGAGCTCCTCCAATATTTAGGTGTTACTAGTCCTGAATGCTTACAAAGGACTGGTGTCTCACTCAACATTCCTGCTCCACAACCTGTATGCATCTCTGAAAAACAAGAAAATGATGTTATCAATGCCATCCTTAAGCAGTACACGGAGGAGAGGGAATTTGTTGAAAAGTACTTCAGTGACTTAAATATGAAAGCTGTGGAACAAGATGAGCCAACACCTCAGAAGTCTCAGTCAGCATTTTATTATTGCAGATTGCTCCTCAGTATATTGGGAATGAATTCCTGGGACAAAAGGTAAGGTTGAACAAGAAATACTTGGGTTTTACATTTAAATACTTTTTGATTTATAAGAAAATCTTTTTAGTGGTTCCTCCTGCTTCCCTCTTCCTCCCCTCTATAATCTCTAGACAGAAATGGATTTGTTAAGACCAGGGAGGCAGAGTGTGAATCATGATAGAAATAGAAAAGATAGCTCTAAGGCAGGCCTGCACAACTTGTAGGCCAAGGGCACTTAAGGCCCTCGGGCCACTTGCTGCACACCAAAGGATTTCTGGCTGCCCTCGAAAAATGTAGGGGAAAACATCCTTTGTATGTAGAGGAAATCCTTTGGCATACCGCAAGTGGCCCATGGGCTGTGCCACAAGTTGTGTAGGCCTATTCTTTGGCCATTAATAATATGTGTATGTGTGTGTATATTCACATATAATGTGTGTGCATGTTGTGCTTTCAAGTATTCTCATTTAGGTCCTATATTCTTAAATTCTCACTGCATTAAGTAAAGACACCAAGTAAAAATGGACTCATAAAAACCATAGATTTTCAATTCATTTATACAGTCTACCTTTAAAACTATGACTTAAACAATAAATGTATGCTTTTTTTCCTGCCAAAATACTTAAAAATGAAAAAGTAGCAGCAAGGCAATAGTTTCAGAAATTTGAAACATTGGGTCCAGGATCTAAGAAAAAAGAATATCTAGATTTGATCAGATTTTTATCCATTTAAGGAAGGTGTAGAGTTTCTTAAGTTTTTTTTTAGCTAACAGTATATCATTGATTAAGATAGGCATTGAGTAGTATGCATTTTTTTAAATTCTCTACTTAAGGAAAAAAAAGTAAGGTAAAAAGGGTAGTATATTTATTATTATCTTTATATTTGACATATAATAGAAGGATAGCTCAAATATTACTGCTTCAATCAATCTTTCAATCAGTAAACATTTATTAAATTCCTACTATGTGCAAGGCACTGTGTAAGACCCTGGGAATCCAAATACAAAGGATGAAATAATTCCTACACACAAGTAACTTAGATTCTAATGAGGGAGACAACAAGGACATAGAACTGTGAAATAATACGAACAGTACAAAATGGTTAAACATATGATTGTTTCAAATGGAGTGCACTAGCAGTTGAAGGGATCAAGAAAGGCTTCATTTAGGAACTGATACTTAAGTTGAATCTTGAAGGAAGAGGACTTCTAAGAGGCAGCAATGAGGGGCCAGTATGGCAGGATCACAGATGCCAACAGGATAGAATGTCCTATGAGGCAAAAAGGATAGGTTGGAAGAAGGTTGTGAAAGGCTTTTAAACCTAATTTGAGGAGTTTCTCTTTGATTCCAATGGCAATAAGAAGCCCACTGAAGTTTATTAAAGAAATAACATGCTTAGATCTGAGCTTAAAGAAAATTAGAGTAGAGAGAAACAAGACAAGGAGCCAATTAGAAGACTATTGGAATCATCTGGTTAACTTTGGGAGCCTCTCCATACTGGCTCTGCCACTAAAGTCATTTTGTAACTTTGTATATATAATTTTACCTCTCTTAGCTTAGATTCCCCAGGGTCTTTGACCTCCATAGGTTTTGCTGGATGACGTAGTAGAAAATAGGAAGAAAGCTGAATTTTCAAGTCAAGAGACTTTATCATTCAAATCCTGGATTTGCTGTTCTGATCTGGGTGACATTGAACAAATATCTTAACCTCTCTGGGCTTGTTTTCTAGTTTGTAAAATCGGTGTTAAGCTGGATAATCTCTTAGTTATCTTTCAGCTTTAAATCTATCATCCTCTAATCTTAAGGATCCTTCCAGCTATTAGACTATCATTTTCAATTTTGCAACTGCAACCCATACACTGATTTAGAGCTATGTAATCTATACAGATAATTTCAGTTGCATAGAATGCCTGTATGGTATAAAAATAATAATTCTTAGCAATTTGCAAAATGCTTTATACGTTAATTCATTAATGATCATGACAATGCTGTGAAGTAGCACAAATAAAATAAGATATAAAAGCACTTTGCAAAAAAAGCATTTTAGAAACATCCCCTGTTACTATAAGATCATATAAATGTTATCCATATTTTGCTGATGCGGAAACTGAGGATTCAGAAGACTAAGTAGCTTGACCAAGCCACAAAGCCTAGGACAGGAACGTTAAATCTTTTCACTCACTCCAAATGCACTATTTTTAATTATCACCTTATGGGCAAATGATGTTATATAAGAAGTATCATTTGACTTGTGGGATATCCAGACTCTTTCTAAATTATCATTATTTTTGACAGGTGGTTTGGATTTTGTAAGTAATTTATTTCATCTAAAAACCTTCTGACTTATTTTTAAAACTGTGTATTGTAGGTAAAATCCACATGTAGTCCTGTCTCTCACTTTTGAAATAAGACTGGAGAATCATGCATTGTCTATAAGAGTAAAACTGAAGAGACCAATAGGTATAATCTTCTGAGAGGAAAATATCAGGTCCTTGGGTAGAAATAATAGTGAATATTATTGAAAGTTTTTTTTTTAGGATTTGTTCACCTTTGTTTTAGAAATATGAACGTACAAGAGAAATGTAAGCACATAAGGAGAGTAGAAGGTATGTTCCAGGACTGTCATGTCATTCATTTATAAAGATGATGAAAATGTTTATCCATTATTCCTTTAGGAGGAGCTTTCATCTCCTGAAGAAAAATGAAAAACTCCTTAGAGAACTCAGAAACTTGGACTCAAGACAGTGGTAAGTACTGAAAATTGTGATTTGTAAATAGCTATAGTCCATTTTTTCCAGATCTATTTAAATGTTATATTTAAATTAGAAAATTAAAGCAATGTTAATCAAAATTATAGTTTATTCAGCTTAGAAATCTCTACTAAAGGTGCTGTGAGGTCTCATTTTAGCATGACAGTGGTTCTGAGATGTAACTCCTGTCTCAGATACTTACTAGTTTTGTGACCCTGAGCATGTCATTTAAGCTATCTAATCACTTTTCCTAATCTGTAAAATGAGGCAGTTGTCTCAAAGACTTTTCCTTTCAGATTTTAATCTATAATTCTATAATTCTCTCTATCTAATCTGAGTTTTAAGGAATCCAAGTTTCTCTTTGGACTTGATTTTCTTCTTAAAAGGAAGACCTTTTGCAGAAAGTGATACCAGTGACTTTATTTATTTATTTATTTATTTATGGCTAGGCAATGAGGTTAAGTGACTTGCCCAGGGTCACACAGCTAGTAAGTATTATGTGTCTGAGGCCATATTTGAATTCAGGTCCTCCCAAATCTAGTGCCTATCCACTGAGCTACCCAGTTGCCCTGATACCAGTGATTTTAGACGAGGACATGGATGTGTTAGTGTTATAAAAGAAGGAACAAAGAAGGGATATGGGTGACTTAATGTATTTCCACACAATTAAATTTGGTCTTTGCCCTATCACCTCTTTGCTGTTCCCACCTAGCTAGAACCCTGTGTTTTTTCTATTTCAAAAATGCCCTTGCTAGCACACTTTTTCTATACCTTGCATGTCAGTTACCAAACCATAATATTCTCCCCTGTTATCATCTATCTTTGCTCCCAGGTTAACAAGAATTACTAGAAAAATCCATGAAACCATTGTTGATTGGGCCCAGTAGCCTAACTTCAGTTGGGCCTTTGTTTTATTCATTCACATTGCTTTCTAAGCATATTATATTTTGCAAGGCTAATAGGCAACATGCTATGTTCCTGTGTCATAAATGTCTAATTTTCTACATAGTATGTCCCATACTTTTTCCATGTAATATCCTCCATCTCAAAAGATAACCTTGTCTCCTACATTACTTTCAAAAAAAAAAAAAAAAAGTTAAGGCCATCCACCTCTTTCCTCACATCTCTACCTTACAATTTCTCTGGCCTTATGCATCACCAGCTTCTCTTTCACTTGAACTAATTTCCTCTGCCTCTATCTTCTTTCATCTCTTCATCTTGACTGACTACCACACCCCCATTTAGCAGTATGCTTGTTTTCCCTATGCTTAAAAAAAGAGAGATCAAGAGAGATCTTTCCCTTAATTTTATCCCTACCTAAAGCTACTGGAGATTTAACCAAGAAAAAGACGACTAATGAAGAAAGAAAGGAATAAAATATATGTGGTTTTTGAAGAACTATTATGTTGAAGAGAGATTTAGACTTATTCTTACCAGAATGAATATGATTTATCAATCATAAAGAGCAAAACTTGGATCAGTGAGGTAGAAGTTACAGAAAGGTAGATTTAAAGAAAAAATTTTCTAACAGTTTTCTAAAAATGTAATTTATGCTAGTAAGTTCTTGTATCATAAGAAATGTTTCAGGCAAGCTGAGTTTTTGACCAGCTATCAGGAACGTTATAGTGGGTATTCCCAAATTTAGAAAGTTGAATTAAGAGAACTTAATTATTCTATCTTCTTGAACTCCTTTGTTTGTACCTCTTACCACATGCTGAATCCATACTGAATCAGGAGTTGATATATCTGATAGCAGCTAATATAGTTCTTAATAATTATAAAGCATTTTACATAGATTCTTTCATTTGATCCTTATAACAACCTTGTAAGCTAGGTGTAGTATTGAGTATACCTATTTTATTGGTGAAGAAACTTAGGCAGACAGAGTTTTGGTGACTTGGTCACACAGCTAATTAGTGCTATATTTTCATATTTGTACCCAGGTCTTCTGATTCCTAATCTAGCGTTCTTTCCAGTGCATTTTTTGTGGAAGCATCATGGGCTAGTTAGGAAGGACATTAGATGGAGCCTGAGTTCGAGTGCTTCCTCCAACATTAGCTGTGTTACCCTGGGCAAGAGGCTTACCAGTTCTCCGCCTCAATTTCCTCATCTGTAAAATGGGGATAATAATTATTACACTAATAGCCTTATAGAGTTGTTGTGAGGAAAGTTTGTTGTAAGCCTTAATGCATATGGAAGAGAAGTGCACTATGGAAGAGATAATCGAGTTATCTTATCTAGCCAATTTTCCAGTAGCAACCACTAATACCACAACTTGGTATTTCTGCCCCTTGACTCTATAGGCAAGAGTTTGTAGAACACATTGGCTGAAAGCTAATGAAAGTAGGTATAACAGGTAACAACTTTCAAGTGGCTATAGGGAAGGTAATGGTTCAGATGAAGAGTAGTAGTACCACACAAGGGGATAGCAGTTAACAAAATTTTACTACTACTTAACTAGGAGAGGAAGAGAGTAAATAACAACTGGGAACAATCTTGGAATGCAGCCTCCATTGCTGTTTGTTCCTGGGCCATGACATACATTGGAGTAGCTTTGGATATGCAACCATGCAGTAATATTCCCAATCTGGTCAAAGGCCCAACACCTCTCAGGTTCAGCTTACATAGAGTTATAGAAAAATAGCCACCATGGCACTAATAAGGGACCACCCTGTGATCCATTGGGGAACATAGAAGGAAAATCATGACCAGTGAAATGAGGATATGTTCTTAATTAAATTAATTGAATTTTCTTAATTAAATAAGGAATGAGGGGCAAGAATTCTAGACACTTAACATTAACTGTACCACACAGGTGAGAGGCTGAGGGGCAGTGCTTGGTCTTTGGATTTATTAGCCTTCATATATATGTATCCTAGGGGTTTGAGCATACCGAATCAAATTGGTTTTAACTAGCTCACAATGTTCCTCCCAGTCCCAACACCCTTCATTCAAATCAAAAGCTCTCTTGTCTGTGGGATATATAAGACAAACTGTAAAGGAATTAGCTGCTGCTGCTATTTTTTGAGTTGGGCACAGGAAGGAATTTAGTGTCATTGGATCTGTAGTAGCTTCTTGGAAGTGTAGTAACTCTGGTAAAACACAGAAATAAGGAGACCTGTGAAAAGTTGTGAAAAGCGAGAGCATGGTGCTTCATGCTGCCATCTGTGTCTGATTGAAGTAAAAAATCAAACATGTCAACAGGATTGGATTCAGAGCATATCTTACTTGGTTTCCATTTATTATTCCAGTGTTCCTTGTGGAAATAAAACAAGGAAGGGTATAGGCCAAGGTCAAGAGTTTCTTCCTATCAGCCTTCATCTTCCTTTTTTGAATTTATTTAGTAGGGAACTGATATGGTCAGACCTGCACTTTAGGAAGATCAATTTGACAACTGAGTGATTAGAATGGGGAGAGCTTTGGGGCAGAGAGATTAACCAGCAGACTACTGCAGCAGTCCAGGCATGAGATGATAAGGGCCTGTTTCTAGAGTAGTTGTAGTGTCAGAGAATATAAGAGGGCATATAGTAACGTAAAAGCAACAGAACTTAGCAACTGATTGGATATTGGAGGATAAGAGAAAATGAGCATTCAAGGATGATACCTAGGTTGTGAGCTTGGATGATTGAGAGAATGGTGATATGGTTGGCAGTAATAGGGAAGTGAGGAAGAGAAAAGAGCTTGAGGGGAAAGATAATCAGTTCGTATGCCCAAAGAGGTATAAAACCATGCATACCCTTTGACCTAGCAATACCTCTACTAGGTCTGTATCCCAAAAGAGATTAAAAAACAAAAAGGAAAAGGACATAGGTGTACAAAAATATTTATAACAGCTGTTTTGGGGGGCACAGAATTGGAGATTGAGGAGATGTCCATCAATTGGGGAATGGTTAAACAAGTTGTGGTATGTGATTGTAACGGAATACTATTGTGCTTTAAGAAATAATGAGTGGGATGCTCTTGGAAAAGCCTGGAGAGACTTGCACGAGCTGATGCAAAGTGAAATGTACCGTGTACAAAGTAACAGCAGTATTGTAGGATGATCAGCTGTGAATGACCTAGTTTTTCTCAGCAATACAGTGATCCCAGACAACTCTGAAAGACTTATTATGAAAAAAGCTATCCATCCACAGAGAAGGAACTGATGGTATCTGAATAAAGATTACAGCATATTTTTTTACTTTATTTTTCTTGAGGTGTTTTTTTTTTTGTCTTTTTTTCTTTCACAACATGACTATTATGGAAATGTTTTGCATGACTACACATGTATAACCTATATCGAACTGTTTTGCCTTCTCAGTGAGGAGGATGGGGAGGGAGGAAGAAAGAGAATTTGGAGCTCAAAGTTTTAAAAACAAATGTTAAAAATTGTTTGTACATGTAACTAGGGGGAAATAAAATACTAAAGAAAAAGAAAAAAAATAATCAGTTCAGTTTGGGACATGTTGATTTTAAGCTATCTGTGAGACATCCAATTCAGGATGCCTTACTGGCAGTCTAGAGGTTGGAAGAGTGCCAAAAAGCAGACTGGAATGTCATCTGTATAGAGAAGATAATTGAAACTGTGGAAGCTGATGAAATCACCAAGTACAGTTGTACAGAAAGAAAAGAGGTGAGGACCCAAGGAAAAACCTTGGGAGCCACTGTTGTTAGGGGATGTGACCCGAATGAAAATCTAGCAAAGAACACAGAGGAGGGGGCAGATAGGTAGGAGGAGAAGTGGTCTTATGAAAATCTAGAGAGAGATAGTATCAAGATGAAGAGGGTGCTTAGTAGTATCAACAGTTGCAGAGGTTAAGGATGAAGATTGAGAAAAGGCCATTACATTAGATTTGGCAACTAAAGAGACCTTTAGTGACTTGGAGAGAGCAGTTTTGGTTAAATGATTAGGTCACAATTGTGGAAGCACAGATTTTAGATGGCCTTCTCAAGGGGTTTAGCCACAAAGAGGGGGAGAGATGTAGTATGATACCTAACTGGGATTGGTGGATCAAATG